TTTTAGTTATCATTATGTATTATTGCAATTTAAAGGCTTACAGTTACTTCTCTTTGAGAAAATGCCTTTTTTTCACTTAGATTACCCTGAATTACACATAATTGTTATATTATCGGGTAAACTTACATTTTTATATCAAACAAATTTACTGTCAAAAATGGCACATACAGCTTACCAACACAAAATCAGCTTTACCAAGCAAAGAAAATAAAAATTCCACTGTATATAATTTTCATTGGATAAAAGTGTTTTTATATTATATCAGTGTTGCTAACCCTACGGATTTATCCGTAGATCTACGGATTTCAATGTTAATTTAACATTGTTAAACTCGGATTTTCGGATAAAGCCACCAAATCTACGGACTTCTTGGATTATTTGTTTAACGTTTGGTATTTTTATAATTCTCAAATCGGTTTTTACCATATACCTATAACTTATAGTTATAGGTATATGGTTTTTACCACTGCAGAAACAAACCTTGGGTTCGAAACCTATAGTTCTGCCATTTACTCAATGGTTCTGTTTAATTTAGCAACAGTTGGCACTACTTGTAAACACTGTTCTGTGTTGTTGCATTAAGCTTGATTTATAGATTGCCTTCCTTCCTAATTTTAAATTTGAGATTTTTTTAGGTACCGGAACTAAAAGGAGCACTTTTGTACCCCATAATTAGCGTGCAATACTTCCAATACCATCATCAGGGTCTCCTCTTTTGGGAAGCATGTCACGACCTATGTTTATAGGAACTTTTTTTCTATTTTTGTATGTGGAATTTGCTGTTAAAGTATTGCACGCTAACGGTTAACCGTTCAAGATAAAAAAATGAAACCAAACAGTCGGCCTTCGCTCGGCATAGGCGGTTGACCGTCGGTTTGGCTTGCCCCCAGTCGTCCCGCTTATGGCCCGATACCGTTTGGCCATGTTCTAACCAAAGTCGGCCAGAATACGGCATGCCGCTGCAAAATCGTTCGGCTTGCCCTAGCCGGCTGGAATACGGCCTGCCGCGGCAATGGGTAGACATTTTTAGTCATTTCAATAAAAATAACATTCCTTTCAATAATATTTTAAAATTAGTACAATATATATTATGTTGCCTGGTACAAACGCTTCTACCGAACGGGTTTTTTTATGATGAATAAAATGTGGACCACCGAAAAAACTAATTTGTCTGTAGAAACTTTAAAAGCTTTAGTGACTATTAAATATGATTTTAAAGAAGACTGTATGTGTTTCTACAATGAACTGTTAAAAAATATGACCTTTACCTTTAATTAATTAATTTTTTTGTTGGAACTTAAAAAAGTTTAAATTAGTTTGAGTGTATGGTTGGAAACTTTATAACAACGTTTTTAGCAATACATTCGCCCAACGTTTCCCAGACAACGTTTTAACTACGTATTTCCCACTTAAAATCATACTCAACAACAAGTATTTTATAATATATAATTTGTTACATATAACAAATTATTATACAAATTTCCAACGTTGTCTAAATGTAGATAAACGTTAATTTCTACCAGGGCATACAAAAAAATGCGAGCTAATATTACCAAACCCTGCGAGGGTTATCTTAGTCTGTTGGTCTACTTTCATTTGCCATTGGACCTATTGGGGCTGGAAGCAATGACCCAAAAAATTGTAATTTAAAAAATATAATTTTTCTTGATGTTAAAATAAAATGTTACCATCTTATTTTATGCGCTTGTAGAAAAAATATTCTAACACGCGCGGCTCGACTGATGACCAACAACGGGATTGCGTGGACAAGTATCACTTTTCGCACTAGCTAGGTAAATCACTATTATGATATTAATAAAATGGGGTTTGTTCAAAAGTCTCAAGTTTATTTTTCTAATATGTACTTACAATATCAAAAAACTTCTTTAATTGATATAACATTTCATAACAATACATTAAACCCATTTACATATTTGTATTCCTATTATAGAGAATTTTCTCTGGTTTCATTGTTTAAAATCTCTTCGGGGATTTTTGTCGGCAAGTATGTTTCTCTTATATTAGAATAAAAATTGTTGGCACTAACTACTAAAGAATTGACTTTTAAATTAATTGATTCACAAATAAGTCCAAATTTGGGTCATATATCCATGTCTGAAAAAGAAAAAAGAAAAGCGATTTTTTAAAATATTTTTTATTGATTTTAATACAAATAATTTCCAAATGCAAAGAGCAGGATCATTCAAATCTACCACATTCACATTACCTTTACAAAAAATCTGGTTCACAATTTTCCATTTTCCTATTCAAAACAAAATATATGTCTAATTAGCAAAATGGAAACTTGGACTCAAAAATAAGAAAATAATTATTATAATTAAATACTTATAGACATAAATATACAGAACAATTAAAAGGCAGTAACATAAAAATAATAAAAACAAAAACAATTTTGAAGCTAAATAATAACAAATAAAATTGTAATGGGCTTATCACGGGCATTTCATGTTAAATGATTATAAATTTTATTTTTGTACTAGAAAAATACCTGGTTCTATTTGAAACTTCAAAATTTTATAAAAACTTAGTCATTTTACTTGAAATTCCCAAGGTTGCATATACACACCTAATGCATTTTCGTAATAATACACATTCAAAATATTGATTCAGTTTGTACTAAATGACATGAAAACAATTTTTATGTTTATTGTAAACATATTTAATGTGTAACCAATTTTAAATGTGTCACCACAGCCCAATTATAGCCCCAAAAACACAGAATATCACCAATGAGAACCTAAAAATGGTGTTAATTTTAATGAACTCACTGATTTTTACTAATCCAGTTTTTCTGCTTGCAAGATGCAAAAAGAGCATAATGAAAATAATTAAGTAAATCATAATTTCTTAAAAAAATTAAAGCATATAATCTTTCTAACAGTCCAAAGAAAATAAATGTTCTACTACAGGACATTTAAAACATGCAAAAAATAAAATTTTGCTGAAATAAACCTGAGTTTTTTAGAATCTGTACAAAGCAGTTACACTGTATTTGTGCACAAGTACATTTTATCTGTTGTTTGTAGCAATTTTAAATGTAACAGAAATCACTGGACAATCTTTAAGAATCTGACTAGTCTATACAGTTTTTTTACATACATATGTAAATTTTGCAAAAATACACGAAATAAAATTAGATTGAAATAATAATAAAACTAACTTACTTGTCCTGATTTCATTTATAGATGTAGAATAATAAAAATAAGTTAAATGAAAGTGGAAAAAACTACAAGACAATGAGAATAATTTTTATTCAAAAAAGGGGAAATAATTTTTTTAAGGAGGGAAACATAAATTATAGAAATTACAACTAAAACTAGCACTGTACAAAATACCCACCAAATAGCACATAAACAATCACTACCATACTTAATTGTTTTGCATTCCTTTAATAAAAAACATTTTTATATACCCTCCAAATTTAAGGCACATCTTGAATAAACATTAAGTAAAATGCAAACCAATTTTAATATGTAGCATATCAAATACAACATTCAATTTGGTATTAATTGTGTGTGTGCAAACAGCTAAACTCAAAATGTAATGAAATTAATTGAAGGCACATCTGAGAACTGGCTACTTAACATACGTACATAACACTGGTTTACTAAATGACATGTTTTGGTTGCCACAGGGTGGACAATAAATTAAAGGGCAATTTGGGTGCACTGATTTCAAAAATAACCATAATTTTTCTTAATTAGCTTTTGTTTTTGCCATACTGTGGTATAACCGTTTTTTTCGACATGCAAACATTAAAATTCGTATATATTTTGTTAATCAAATACTTCATTGCTCATGTAGCTATGCGTCCTAATTAAACTAAAAAAATAAATTATGCAAATTTATAAAGTTTTTCCCTATACAAATCATGTTTTTAGTGAAATAAAATCGTTTTTAGCCAAAATTGGACAATTTTCGAAATTTAAAGTGCTGTTCTATTTGAAAAATTTTGTAGCTTAAGTTATCTACTTTATTGTGTTAAAATTTTAACGCAATTAAAAAAAAATAGGGCAAAATGTCGCTTAATAATAATAATAATAATAATAATCTAATCTAATATTTCTTTGAAAGAAATCATCCCTGCTTTTTTTTAAATCCACTTAGTAGTGCAAGAACGTTTTGTATATATTTTTTTAAATTTTGTTAACAGTGTCATTATTTTCTTATTTGAAACTTGTATATATACATATTTTAATTTATTATTGCCCACAGAATTTATTTAAGAAGTCGTACAAGCAACAGAAGCAAAAATTACCATAAATATAAATTTTGACAATTTGATTGTGTTGAAAATTAAAGATGAATGAAGCAAAAAAAATTATAAATTTCATTAAAGGACATCGGACAAAAATTGTTTTTTACATCACTTTGAATTTTAAAAATTGTCTAATATTGGCTAGATTTTGTTTTATTAAAAACAGGATTTTTAAGTGAAATAACCTAATGAATGTGTTTTATTTTTAAATTAGTTTAATTAGGACCCATAGCTACATTGCCAATGATTCTCAATTAAAGTATTTTATTAACAAAATATATATATACAAATTTTAATGTTTAAAATCTTGAAAACAAAGGTAATTGGTCAAAATAATTGTCATTTTAGAAAGCAGCGTACTTAAATTATCTTAGAAAAGTTATTGGCCACCATGTGGCAAATTGCTGTCGACCAGTGTAATTATAATATATTTAAATAAGTGGTGATAATATTTTTTGTTTGGTATGAAGAATATATTATAGTGTCCAGGGATGGAGTTCAGAATAGGGTTTGGACAAGTTTTATTTCTATGGCTTTAGAAAAAAAGCATTCATTGTAAAAGCTTCTGCTTATCTAAAAACTTTAACCTTAAATATCAGATAGAGGGTCCCAACATCAATACATTATTATTGATAGTATTGAAATAAAGAAAGTTCTATGAAAAAATAATTAAATTGAATTAGCTAAAAATGTACTAGCATTTAAAATTGCAGTTTTCAAAATATTTTTATTTCTTATCTGAATCATAAATCTGGTATTCAAAATTGGGATTTTAAAACCAGCAGGTATAATTTAAGGTTTAAGTTTTTATTTAAGTTGCTGGGACACTATGTTATCTAAACATATTTTAGATATATTTCGTTATATCATAAATTTAAATGACATAATTTTGTGATTATTAGGATGAATTCCATTTATATTCATAGTGTTTAAAAAGGGAAACAGAAAAATATTACCTACAAGCAATGATTAAATATAATATAATTCTGTAATAATGTAAATTGGCATTTTAGTAGTGGCCAAAAATCAGGTACCTTCAAAGTTAAAACAGGGTGTTGGAAGTTGAAAGAGAATAAAGTAAAAAATGAAATAAACAACGTAATAGACAGGGGCTGCTAACACAGAATGCCGCGGTGCGGGGTGTTTTTTTGAACGGGCGCGTGGGTGAGATGACGGCAAGCGGTGCCGCACTGCTGACACAGGCAACCCGACGACACGGCGTACGTACGGACGGCGCTGTCCGCAAACGGCGGCGCGTTCACTGTGTCCGGGCAGCAAAAGGGCGTCCGGGCGGACGACTTGGCGGTGGGGGTGGGCGCGCCGCCATCCGTCAAGCAGGCGAAGCTCTTGCGTTGCGCGAGCGGCGTGGATTTTGGCGTCGGCTGCGACGTTTCCGTCGATGTCGCGTGGATGTTTAACGTGCCGGGTATCGAGGTTTTAAGGGAGATCCACGGGTGCTCGAACAGGTCCTTGATCTTTGGCCGTTTTCTGAAATTAATAAGATTATATTGAAATAAAATTATTATACAATTTACAGGGACCACCAAGTACGGGTATCTTTTTTTATTTGAAGAACCAAAGTTCATTTTTTATCTGGACTGCGGCAACGTTGCAAATTTAGGGGTTTGGTTGGTAAATACGGAACCAAAATTGGTTGCATTGATTAAAACAAACTAAACTATACCTTTTGAACTTCAAATTGGAACTAATCAATTTTAATTTGGAATGTAACAATTTCAAATTGGGATTAATCAACATTGGTAACTTACACGCTCAAAATGGGAATAAACAAAGTCAAATTGGAAACAAAGTTTAAATTACAATTTCAGTGAAAATTCCACACCTGTAATTTTTAACCAATCAAAACGTGTATTTTTGATAGATCACCATGGCAACGGTTGAATTTTAGTGGAAATTTTTTCCTCGTGGGTACCCAACAGCGAATTATACTGGAAATTTTTTGACGTTTATAATGACAGAATATTTTTTTGACAATCTGGTTTTTATTTGTTTACATGATAATTTTGATACATTTCCATTACAAAGTTTAGATGTTTTCTATATTCGTTGGACACCTCCTTTCTTCTTAATGGCGAAAATGCAGGAATTGAAATAAATTAAATGTCTATGTCTAATGAAATATATATAATATTTAGACACTATTCTATTCACCTTTTTTTCCATTTAGCACTTTGAGTTTTGAATAGTTAAGATGCAAATATTCGTGAACAATTCAAAACAAATTTTCTTTCTTCAAGAAGGAGCCACAATCCTCTAATAATGCGGGTAAATAAGTCATTGCACGATGATTGATCATTACAGCAGACAATTTCACATTTTTTTACGTCGTGCCGCTTGACAGCTTCAAAATTGAAATAACTTTTAGGTTGAGATTGACTTAGTTGCCATGGTAACTAAATAATCAAGTCGAGGTCAAGTTAAATCAAAGAATAAATTTTAATTATTTAAACACAATTTGGTGTGGAATTTTCTTACCGAATACCACACGAGGTCAAATTAAATCCGGAAATTTTTTGACCTCTAGTGGTATTACTAGTGAAAATTCCAATTTGAAGTTGATTAGTACTAAATTGAATTTGTTTGTTTCCAATTTGACTTTGTTTATTTCCATTTTGAACGTGTTAGTTATTAATTTAAAGTTGATTAATCCCAATTTTAAATTGGTACATTCCAAATTGAAATTGATCAGTTTTAATTTGAAGTTGAAAAGGTATAGTTATGTATAAATGTAATTATAATGTAATTGTGGTTATGTTAAAATGCACACATGAGTAAAATCATATAAAAAGTAGTTAAATATAGGTGACTATGGCCCAGGAGAGACAAAGTATTCCTAGCGGACAATAATCTTCGCTTTGAAAAAAATTTATATAAAAGAAATTAAAATTTTATGTGAACAAATGTGAATGTTGTCCAATCATTGAACTCCAATGGTGAATCATTCACCATTGGAGTTCAATGATTGGACAAAATTCACATTTGTTCACATAAAATTTTAATTTCTTTTATATAAATTCTTTTCAAAGCGAAGAATATTGTCCGCTAGGAATACTCTCTCCTGGGCCATAGTCACCTATATTTAACTACTTTTTATATGATTTTACTCATGTATGCATTTTAACATAACCACAATTACATTATAATTACATTTATACATAACTATACCCATTATGGGTATTTTGTTAAAGCCACTGGACGTTAATACTTGTAGTGGCTTAATAATAATTATAATTTATATATATTGTATAATATCATATATCAGTGGCGGCTGGTGGATTTTATGTACACCAATATCTCAGTTATTAGACATGGGACCCACACCAAATTTATAATAGTTTATAATGACATTAAATAAAAAAGGTTCGCGCAAACAGAATTTAAATTGAAGTTTGCGCAAAAAAGTTGTTTTTTCCTGTCGCCTCACCCGCCTCCAGGCCCCCCTATTTGAGATAATTCAAATTAAAGTGGTTTAATAAAATAAATAATAAAAATTTAAAATTGAATAAAATCTGTAATATTTGGATTTTTTAAATAAAATTTTAAATTTGTCGATAAATTATAGTAGATAATAAATTGCACCACTTTAATTTGAATTATCTCAAATAGGGGGGCCTGGAGGCGGGTGAGGCGACAGGAAAAACTAACTTTTTTGCGCAAACTTCAATTTAAATTTTGTTTGCGCGAACCTTTTTTATTTAATGTCATTATAAACTATTATAAATTTGGTGTGGGTCCCATGTCTAATAACTGAAATATTGATATACCCAAAATTCACCAGCCGCCACTGTCATATATAATATATTGTACAATATATTGTCCAGGACTATTCATAATGATTTCTGAGGGCAAACAGTTCGGTTCCAGCGCTCGAGAAGACACGTCGCGTGCGGGAAAGCTCTTGAAACGTAAAAGTTTAAAGATGAAACCAACAATAATTATAAAAAAAAGTGCAAACTAATAAGTGAAACAAACATTTTCATGGAGTGCAAGCTAAAATGGTGTAACGGTCATTGAGGAGTGAAGTGCTGAGTGATATGAATGAGTTAGGTGCCACCTGTCATTGGAGGCTTTTCACTGGACGGACGGGGGAGGTCAGGCAGGAGGGGAGGTGGCCATCCGCAAAAAAAAAAGCTGATAAGTTACTTTGAGAATATGCATGACCTGATACAAATCTGCAATTTAAATACGGCAGATCCCAGCAAACATTTTCCGTTAGTTGTCACCATTAACATTGCCCGTTATTCATTTTATTAAACATAATATTTATTTTTACTTGAACATGTTAAAATAACTTTAATATGATTATGTTAAGAACATATTTTACTCCTTAAACAATTGTTTTGTTTTTAATTACTATCATTGCAAAATTGTATTGAAAAGTATTAAAAATTCTTACACGGGCAATGTTGATGGTGATAGGTACCGTTAAAGTGTTTATTGGGATATCCTTAAAACCTATGAAAGGCACACAGCGTGGGGCAATAAATCTGTCAACAACAAATGCGTAAGGCGGTCCCAATCGAGACCGAAAATAAACACTAGACACACATTAAAAAAAAAAGCCTAATAGCCAAACTCGAGATTTGTAAACATTGGAATTTGTTTGACTAATAAATAAATGCAATGCTTAACTTTGGAATTAATAATAAAAAAAAGACAAAACTCTATCACAAAACGTGCTTGGGACAAAATTTTTTAAAAACAACTGACACACTTTACCAAGTGCAGATACTATCTGACCAGGACACGGACAATGACAATAACGAACAAGACAAAGACCTCGACTAGGAAACTACACCCCTTCAGCGAAATAACATCTCTCCAACTCCAAATAGTAATCCCAAATGTTTGGAGTAATACTAATCGACTGGTCTAGGGGGATTCCGCGTCGTACTTAGTTTTAAGTCGGCGTAATTGTCCCCCAAAAACCAACACCCTCCCGTCCCTCCTCCATACCCCACCGAGCGTATAGCATAGGCTCGGCGAACCCGGGAACGGCTATTAAAACTATTCGCCTCTCGCTCTCGAGCCCCAAATAGGGGACAGTACGGAACGCAATGGACATTCGCACCCAGCAAACACGGGTGAAGCCGTGCAGTTGCTGGGGAAAAACAAAAATCGGTGTAAGTAAACATAGGCCTGTACGGGGTTCGAGAGTCAAGAGGAAATGGGGCTGGTTATACGTCTCTTATACTCATACTCAATATATTGTCCAGGACTTTAACTTGCAGATTGAAAGAAGACAAAGTTTCGTGATTATTGCTTATCTTTTTCAAACCAAATGGATGCTATTTTTAAAGACAGGAAAATTAATTACTAGATTTTTCACAAAAAGGTTAACCACATTATTTTCAGCTAAGCAGATTAAAAATTTTTGAAATTTTAAAAAATAAGGGGGAAATAAAATAACAAAAAATAATTTTTATTTTTTGTTATTTTATTTCCCCCTTATTTTTTAAAATTTCAAAAATTTTTAATCTGCTTAGCTGAAAATAATGTGTGATTTAATACTTCCAAAAATGTCCATAAGGCGATGTACTTTTTCTACCATTGAGGCATTTGGCATAACTTTATACAATGAAGTTTTGCCCTTAAAAGTTCTTTTACTTTAGAGTCTGATATTATTTTTGGCATAGTCATCTTTTTATATAGATATTATATAATAATTAACAAGTAAATAATCAATAATAAATATTACTGTCAATTTGACAGTGTCGGAGTATTTAATTAAGGTCTTCAGCAGAAGTACCATTTTTTAAATACTAAAAATACCAAATCAAACTGGCATAAGCTACCAACTTAATAAAAAAACAGTCCAAATAAAAACAAATGAACCGTAAAAGGTCGGTTAATCTAGACAAAAGTTGCGTAAGTCTATTAAAATGGAAAAATAATTACCGGTTCTCAAATAATTTAAAAAAAAAACTGAAAACCTGCCAAAACCAAAAAATATTCCTGGGAATTTTGAAAAAAGTGAAACACATATTTACATTTTAATCCTTTTTTGCCTACTAGATTTTGAGTTAAAACTAGAGATGAAAAAATTCCCATTTGACGAAAATTACCGAAAACTTTCCATCGAAAATTTCCGAAACTATCCGAATCAAAAAAAGATATTTGTATTGCGGAAATTAGTTTTTTGTGGAGGAGGATTGCAAAAATAAATTTAAAAAAAACTAAAAATAGTATTGCAGTTCTAAACAATAAAATATGTAAAACAAACTACAGGCAAAATAAAATCATTTTTAAGTGAGCCTGAGTCTATTGTTTTTAAAAATACGGACTCTGGAGTTCCTACAATTATATTTATTAGTGCCACCCCATTGACATCTGTCCAACCATCTGAAAGAATTGTCATATTGTCAGCCTCTTGTACTTTATCTTCAACTACTTTTTGGATTCTAGCATATTCAAAGTTATAGTCACGGCCAAATCTATATGGGTGCACGTCATCAATGAGATATAATGACGTCAGCATTACCAACTTTGAATTGTAAAGTTACTGCCGTTAAATTTGCTTTTTTAAGGCGTAATTCTGATGTGTTATTAAAAAGAAATCATTCATTTGCGTATTGTTTACCAAGAACTGTAAAAATTTCCTTGTTTTAAAACGTTTTTTCACGAAATTATCAAAATAAAACCATTCACTTAGTAATTTTTGTGTGTGCCAGTTGGTAATAGCTTAAGGCTGGCGCGCACCGTTCAATATTATTGATGGGTCGCTGTCATTTTATATTTGACGTATTTTTGTAATTGTGACATTTCGTCCGGAAGCATCGTTTGTTGCAAATTATTATAAATAATATTATACATTATGATTATAAGATTCAATCCCTGGATTGTGCAAACAATGAAATACGGCTTGTTGGCAACTAGCCGTTATTAGATTTCGAAGACATTGCGCCCTTAATAATAAATTTGGGGAAATAATCAGACTTCTATTCTGATCTGATGACAAGGACGACTGGTAATTTATTATTTTTGTGTTTCTGATAATTTAGTATTTTTTTGTTATGTGCATATGTAATAAAAATGTAATAAACTCCGTTTGTTTTCTCTTTAAACACATTTAATAAAAATTTCCCATTAACAAACTCTTAATTAGTTAGTGCAGAAGATTATAACAAGGACGTTATAATTCCATCTTAATAACAACCCCCACCGGTATAAACAGTCAACAATACACGAGCGTTAGATTGTGTCTGGGCACGTATGAATAGACCTTAACGCTGACGTCATATGCCGTTGATGACGTGCACCCATACAGATTTGGCCGCAATGTTGAACTTAATTTCTTTTTTCCAGGTAGCTTGAAACTTAGACGTGGTTGCTTAAAAAATATTACAACATCAGGGTTTTCAACTAAACAAAAGGGGCAAGAACTAGAGTAAATTGCTGAAGCAAATTGTTCTTCCAATTTATTCTGTTTGTTATCAACAAATTCTTTTATGTTTCCAGTACTGGCATTGCTACCTGACTTAAAATTTTGAATAGATAATCTTATAATATACGATATTATCTTGTGGGGCACAAAGACACTTTTTTATATGTTTGACCATTTTGGTTGCAGTAACGACATATATTTTTTTACAGAACTTGCATTGAGCATGGTCTTTTTTTGCACTATTTTGTGATAATCTCAAATATAGATTTTTACTTGGCATTGTACTGAACCTATAAATAAACAATAAAAACGTACGTTCTCACGTTAGAATGATTTTAACTTTGTTTATTGTTTATATTTTGTTTACCTTTTAAAAGGCTTTTATGCAAAGGGTTGTTTGCAAACGATTTATGAATTATGATGATGAGATCTTCAACTAACTTCTTGTTCCTTAAATTAACACAAATTAACTTTTGTTATTCAGTTTCTTGGCCTTAACTTCGCAAATCAGCTGTTAAATAATTGATATTTACATAAAACAATACGGAAAGTTTCCGGGAATGTTTACGGTATACGGAAATTTATTTTTATTTTGAAAATTTCTTTTAAAGTTGTAACTTATTTTAAAAATGTCTTTTAAATTTAAAAGACATTTTTAAAATAATTATAAATTTCCGACTGGAAACATTCCTTAAAATAAAACCTTTCCGATTCCCATCTCTAGTTAAAACCACAATCTTTTGTTTTTCCTATGGCCGACATATTGGAACTTTACATGGTTAGAAAAAATCAAGGAATCCAAAGATGTATCAAACTACATAAGGTGTGGCGGCCATTCTAAAAAGGGGGGTGGGGGGCTGCTTTGCTGATTTTTGATAACATATGTTATCAAAAATCAGCAAAGCAAAGACCCCCTTATGTTGCTTACGTAATACTTGAGGCCCCTTGTACCCTTTTGCTTTTTAGGGGACATCCATTAATTACGTGAGGCATTTTTCTGATAATTTGGACCCCTCCCTCCCCCTTGGTGAGATTTGGTAAGATGTGGTACCACCCCCTATCCCTCACGTGAGATTCTAGCCATAAAACTTTCTTTGCGGACAACATGATAAACCCAAAAAATAAAAATTGATTACATTTTTTGACAAATTTGAATTATAATAAATATTCTTTAAACCCAAAAGTTGACTTGAGATTTTAAATGACCCCCCTCCCTTAACATGAGATTTGGTGAGATTTTGCTAGACCCCTCCCCCCTATTTTTATCTCGTGTAATTAATGGATGTCCCCTTATCCCTTCGTTTATAAACATTGATAATTAAAAAGCAAAGTTTAAACTTTAGTCAAACCATGATAGCCTAATTACCGGAAACTTCCTACAGTTTGTTTGAATAAATATTGTGCATATAAAAAATTTAAATTAAAAACCTAAAAAAACAAGGAAATATTAAATAAAAAACATTGCCTTAATCATTAGTGCATTAGATAGGTAAATAACAAAATAAATATGAATAAAGACTTATGTATTACCTTGGATCAACCACAAGCGCGGTTTTGATAAAGTCTATGGCTGCGCTGGACACTCCCTCGAAGTGTTCTGGCTCGAAGCTGAGGTCGCATTTCGATATGTTTAGGAAGGTTTGCTGTTTGTCGTCAGCTGCAAACGGGCTGAAACCGGACAGCAGCACGTACGCTAAAACGCCTATCGACCAAATATCCGTCGACAGTTGTATCGGTTCGTAACTGAGGACCTCTGGAGCCACATAATCTACAGTACCTAAAAATAGTGTTAAAATATTAGTACACATTTTCTCATTTTTATTTAATTTTTTTTAAATATTTCAAAAAATCGGTATTCATCAAGTAAAAAAAAAATAACCCTGCTCAAAAGACCCATGGAATCGGTAAAGTTAAAAAGTGGGTTAAATGAATGAAAATTAAAAATAATTATTAATTATAATTAAAGTTTTCTAGGTAAAGTATATTAATTTATTTAATAAAAAATCGATGTATTTAATAACATACAGGGTGTGTGGAATTAATGTTAATATTAAAATGGGTAGTTCCTTAGGGTCCATAAAGAAGGACCTGAAACTTTTTTTTCTATATTCCAAAGTCTAAAAATAACTTATAATAACCTTTATCCTACCAAAAAGTACGCCACTGATCGACTAGGAACTTAAGGCTAATCTGGTTGCCTACTTTAATTTATTATGTTATGGTTGGTAACAACCAGCCTTTCGAGATTCTGTCAAAAAAAGTTGCCAGATTTTGTTTAAATTTAGCTTAATTACAAAAATGTCAAAATCAACAATGCAAATTGTTAATTTGGGGACTGAAACCTTAATTATATTGTAAATATTTTAGTACCCGGAGCCGTTTTTTTTAACACAGCAAAATTTCCCATCATTTGCAAACATCCCTGGGTTAATTACTTCTTTACCTCCCCAAAGGCGTTTTTATTAATTGTTGATTATGTCATTTTTGTAATGAAGGAAAATTCTTATGACAGAATCTGGTAAGTTACCATTAATTAGTGCATTTCTTTCAAATTTTAGGTTATGTGCTTAAATTGTAAATATCTTAACTAAGGTAAGTGCTTTTGGATTTATTTACAGAAATTGAATGTTTAAAGTTTAACCTGTGAACTTGTACTAATTTCATATGAGTAAACAGAAAGAAAAAAACCGATGAAAAAATTAATTTTGTGGTTATTGAGTGTTTAAAATAGGTAGGTACTAAATTTTCTAATCATTGCTTAAGCTAATAGCTGGATGAGTAAATAAATAAAAAATGGTTTTAGAGCTTTAAGGGCATAACACTTTTGTATTTTATAAAGTTTTTATTTAATTTTTGCAAGAAAAATTTGTATCAACAATTTTTTACAACTGGCAACGCGCAGCTACTTTGTTGGTTGGTATCTATCATAGATACCATAGATAATCTAATCATAGGTACTCATAGAACACAAGTGTGTAACCAGTGGCGTATCACAAAAAATATAAAAAACTTCTAATGTATATTTTTTCTTTGGGAAAATATTTTTTCAGAGATTATTAGTAAGTTGCCTAAATTAAAAAATAAATAACACAAATTATTAATGTTCAAAAAAGGAGCAAATTAAAGGCAAGAATATGAGGCAATATAAACTTGACATGTGTTTAGGATTTTCATTGATATGAAATCTATATTATAAAAAAAGATAATCCCAACATAAACGACGAGTAATATAATTGATTAAAAAAATAGATTACCCAAAATTTCCCGTACTATAATGCCCGGTTCCAGGATCTTCGATATGCCGAAATCGCAAAGTTTAATGTTATCGCAACTGTTGGGTTCCGCCAAAAGGAGGTTCTGTGGTTTCAGGTCCAGATGGGCGATATTTCGTTTGTGCAGGTACGCCACGCCGTCCAAAATTTGACGCATAGCTTTTCTCGCCTCGGCTTCGCCCAAACACTGGCCCATGTCCAAGATGTGCTGCAGCTCGCCGCCAGCGGCCAGCTCCAGTACCAAAACCATCTCGGTGGTGCTTTCGTAAACCTTAAATTAATCAAAATAAATTGTCGACAAAATTTTAAAAAGTTGTATCTTGAATGTACAAAATTTTATTTATCAATTTTTACATTTTCATAATACACAGTGCATTTCACACATATTCAGGAGTCTCAGATTTTAATCGGAAATATTTAGTAGTCGATAGAACTCGAAAAAAATTAAAAGAAAAGTTTTTATAAAGCTTAGTTTTCGAGATTTAGGGTGGTAAAGTTATTAATTTTTTTAATTTTTTTTAAACTTAATTCCTTGGCCGAATTTAATAAAACTTCTCAGGTTTTTAGTACCTATTGGATAAAAGCCTTTAATTTAATTTAGTTCCAGAGGCGGTGCTGGGCATCCCAGCTGGGTACTGCCTGAAAAAAATATGGTCACGAGCAGATAAACAAATTTATTTATTTTCCTGAAAATTAAAGTAAAAATGGGAGACAAAAAATTGTATTTGTAATTGCTTAATCTAATTATAATATAAAACTAATAAAGAAGCAGTGGCGTGACCATACAAGTTTATATAAAAAACTTTTCATTTTGTTTTTGCAAATTCTATTGACTATTAAATAAATAAGTATTAGTAATAATACTGTATTACATTTTCTCGATTAAAAAAACTATCAACTTATCAACTTAAATTAATTTTAACTCATGTTTATTTTAAAATAATCCATCAGATAGACAGTTGACAATATGATCTGAGAAAATATAGACGCTGATTGTTGTTCATATTCAGTGTTGCCAGTGTGTAGTAAAGCCCAAGATGTCGTTAAGAAAAAGCGGGAGATTCAAATAAAAAACGGTAGTTTTTAAATACTTATTTAAATATAATAAACAAAACAAAATAAATATTCTACATTAGAAGAGATCAGCAAATAATAATCTGATTATTCATATGAATCATGTCAAAATTATAACAATTTTTGCTTTCCCACAAAACGTACAAAACTGTTAAATATAACTAACATCATGCCTTGGTCTACAATTATCAGAAACCGGCTAACGCCTTACGTAAAAACCAAATAAAGTGCTTGATATGCAGAACAAGCACTGATTGGTCGACATCTATCAATGATAGCAACTGTAAATATAGAATCAACTAATCGTATCCTGTCAATATTTGGTTTTAGGCAACCAAGATTTTACTTGTTTCATTTAAATTATACGATACAAAGACGATTTTTTTAATTATTTTAATTCGGAGAACTAAAAGAGCGAAAGATGTTTTTCAAAAGCAGTAGAACGGGAAATTGTTTTCAAAAACGGTAGATCTACCGCTAAAACGGGAGACCTGGCAACACTGTTCATATTATTGAATTTACGAAAAAGAGCTTTTGCATTTTATTGACTTGGTTATATTATAATATAATAAATAAAATATGAGCGGATACCTAATCTTATAGACATTTTCGGATACATGCGGTATAGCGCCAAGAGAAATTAAAATAAAAAAAATCATTAGAAACCAATAAAATTTAGTTTTGCGAATATTACCTCGTGCAGTCTTATAACCCGACTTGTGTCCGAACATTGCATTAACACGGCTATTTCATGTATAATTTCTTTCATTTGGTCCTGGTTGCGACGTCGTTTTTTCACAAACTTCGCTGCATAGTGGACGCCAGTCTTTTTGTGCACTGCTCTGCATACTGTTGCGTATTTTCCTCTAAAAATTAAAAAAAAACACATTAGAAATTTATTCTTACATAAACACATTGAGAATAAGTAGTAAGATTTCTCTTGGCATTATAATCAATCAGATATAATTTAAACAATAGGTTGAAATTAATAGTATACGACAGGACGTCCGATATTATAAAACGTCCGCTATAAATTAGCAATTTCAATCTGTGGCATCCTCGACGAAATCGCGAAAGAAGTCATAAAATAGAAAACTTAATAGAATTATGTATTAGACGTATCAAGTAGGCGACTCGAGTAATCAAGATTGACAGGATCCAACGAACTTTACACTTTCGTTTTGCTTATTTAAAAAAGATCTGTTTGACCTGAGGAATAAACGAGATAGAAGTGGATAATTGGAAAAAATACACCCTTAACTTAATACTTTCGCTTTTGCCTATATAAAAACAATTTATATAACTTTAAATAGAAAGTGGACAATTGATGACGAAATGGTTTTTTTAAACAGTATTCTTTAGTTTACAATACTGTGGGTAAAAGGCATAAGGGTATAAGTCAAAAAAAGCAATTTTTCAGTAGAGCCTTAAACGTTTTCGCATTAATTCAGGAAAAATATGTATGGTTAGCGGGTATACCCTTTTGTTACCACATGTCATATGCTAACAAAAGCGTATACCCGCTAAACATAAATATATTTCCTGAATTAATGCGATCACGTTAAAGGCTCTATTGAAAAATTCCTTTTTTTGACTTATCCCCTTATGCCTTTTACCCACAGAATAGATAATAGCCAAAAATTACAAAATTGTCCACATTTTAGACACGACCCTAATTTAGGCACGAGCGAGCTTGCGAGCGAGTGCTTAAATTAATGAGTGTCTACAAAAGTTTATAAAAGAGGTGCTTACTATTCTTTTTCTTAGAGATGGGAAAATTCCCATTTGACGAAAATTCCCTGAAACTTTCCTTCGAAAATTCCCGAAATTTTCCGAAAGTTTAAAAAAAAAAAATTTTTATTGCGAAAATATTTTTTTTTATACCAGGGATTTGCAAAAATATATAACACATTAACTTTTTGTCAAATTTTATTTAGAAAAAAAATAAAAAAAATGTTTATAAGAATGTAACTGCAATACTATTTTTAGTATCTTTTACTTTGGAATATTCATATTGTATACTGAAACCTACAAAATAAAAATAAAATGTTTACTATTAGAAATTCACTGCTAGTTAATCCTAGATATTACGTAAAAAAATTAAAATGGACAAAGTAACTAATATATAGGAATATTGAAAAGTAAAAGATACTAAAAATAGTATCGCAGTTCTGACTGATAAAATTTTTGTTTTTTTGCACTATTTTGTAATAATTCCAAACACTAGATTTTTCTCTTGGCATTGTGCTATGCCTATAAATAAACAACAAAAATGTAAGAATGATTTTAACTTTGTTTATTGTTTTTATTTTGTTTACCTTTTTTTAAAAAAGTTTTTTGTGATGATGCTATATAATCCGGCTTCATTGAGGTTATGTAACATAACTTACATTATTTATACTTCTTCTTCTGCTTTAAATTAACACACATTAAATTCTTATTCAAAGTTTCTTGGCCTTGTATCATGGCCTTAACGAAAATCAGCGACATTTAAATGAAAAAAACAAGGAAAGTTTCCAAGGAATGTTTCCGGTAGCTTAAAAGAAACTTTTAAAATGAAAATAAATTCCTAATTGGAAACTTTCCAAAACGGAAAGTTTCCTTAAAATGGAAACTTTCCGATTCCCATCTCTACTTTTTCTACGACAAATCTTAAAATGATTTAAATCAAATATTTGTATGGAGCGCCATTATAAACACAGGTTATAAAGGTTATAAATTGAAATGTATTCCTTGAAAATGGATTCACATACCGTGAAAGTAAAGAAAATGTTTTATGAGCACTTCACAGTGAAGCCCGAATTTAAAGGTCAGTACAATGTTCATATATATATATATATATTAAAAAAATCTAATATCAATTTGAACAAATAACATATTTTCAAATAATTAGGTTTAGGTTAATACAAATAAGGTTTATTCTGTTACCAAAATTAATTCATAGCAAGTATAATATATTGTTAAATATAATCATTAAATTGAATATAAAAATATATATTTTATGTATATCAAAGATAACTAAATTTAGCTTTAATATTAACAAAACATCCCTGTGAACACTTGCTTTATACTTAAAACATCCTTACATGTAATCATTCCAATAATAAAAAGTGACACTATCATTATTTTAATAATAAAAACGTACCTACTTTATCTTCAAATTGAGCATAACAAAAGAACCACGCAAAAATACGTTCTACAAAGAGGGCGGCATCAATCTTCTTTGGCATAATTAAGTAAACTTCCGATGCGCGTGGACCTGTTTTGTGTAATTATTGTGCCTGTGGTTTGTTCTGTGGTGGTGATTGTGTTATTTTTTAAAGAAATAGTATTTCTGAAATACCTATTATGGAGGAATTGCTTAGAACATGGGGGTATCCTGACGAAGTAATATTTCTACGTAAGTAACATGGTACAAAAAAATATTTGATATTTTTTCACATCATATAGTCATTTGTATTGCTTTACCCTTTACAACAAAGCATAAATGACATTTGGTGGCTATACAAATATTTTGTTTACCTATTAGGTATTATCATTGTGTACTAAACATGTAGGTATACCTACATATACCTATATATAGTCTTATTTTGATGTATATTGCAGTAGGTAGTTTAGAGTGTATAAAAATCTAAAAATAAAGAAGTTAAAAAAAAGATAAGTATGATACTTACAGTAAGTATAATTCAATTTAACCTAATTTCAATATTAACATATAAGAATACAAGCCCAGCATATTCTTATGTAGGTATACCTTAAACTACATATGTCAAAATTAAAAAATAGTTTTACTCCGATAAAAGACAAGCTATATTAACATATATAATAATTATTTTCAATTTGAACTTAAACTATATTTAATCTAAATAAAACCAATTCTAAATAGACCCATAAGATAGTTTTAAATTGAAGTTAAGGCTAATATTAAATCGAGTTTAAATTTAAGTTTACACCTATAACATAATTACTCTCAAGTTAAATACAAAGTAGGTATACATTTGGTATAAAAGTTAAAGAAAAGGTAATTTTAACGTAAGCATACACTAATCTTGCTCCTATTCATGACTATGATAGTTTCATACTGATGCTAATAGTTTCAACTCGAGATTAGATTTTTTTGTGTATAAACTCCCAGATAGCAAACGTGAATACGAAATCACGCGTGAGTGAATAATGTGTGCTATATGATTTCACACGTGAAGTCTTGAACTCGTAATTCACACGTGAGTAGATTATGAATTCATATTATAGTCTCGTGTGATTTAATCGATTTTATTTTAAAATACATGGATTGCATGATTAAAAACTGCACGTTTAAATATAAATAGAATATTAATATTCTATAGAATATTATAATATCAAAAATATTATATTAATATATTTTCATTTAATATTGTATGTCATTATAATAAATTATAATTATATCTGGTAACCCTGCTTAAAATACCCCATAGAGACCTATACAAAATAATCTATCGGGCACTACCGGATTCTATATGTGCATTTGTCCATGGGTTTTTCCGGATACAGGCCGATAGAAAATGTATAGGAAATTACCTATAGGCACACCATAACTTTTACATTTTCCCTATTGAGACCGATAGAAAATAACTCAATAAGGGATATATAGGGATATCCCTATAGAGCAACCATAAAACATTTGACAAAATTTTATTAAAACCCATAGGGTCCTATAGGGAAAAAACTAATTTCTACATTTATGTGTATTTTCCCCATTGAAACCGATAGCAAATAAATCAATGGTGGATATCCCTATAAATCTCAACTACGGGTCCTATACAAACCGATACACCCTATAGAAACACCATACATCCCGATACAAATATCTATCGGTTTAAACAGGGTCTCTATGGGGTATTTTAAGCAGGGAACACCCTCCCTTTCCCCATGACATTTTCAGTCACAATCTTTATTTTAAATGTTTTAAAATACACAAATTAATTATTATATGTATTAATTATATAATATATTAAGTTATAAGTAGTTATATTATATAATTATATATTATAATATATATCAGTGGCGGATTGGGGATTTTGGGTATACCAATATCTCAGTTATTAGACATGGGACCCACACCAAATTTATAATAGTTTATTATGACATTAAATAGACAAGTTCGGCGCAAACAGAATTTAAATTGAAGTTTGCGAAAAAAAGTTAGTTTTTTGTGTCGCCTCACCTGGCTTCTGGCCCCCCCATTTGAGATAATTCAAATTAAAGTTGTGCAATTTATACTTCACTATAATTTATCGGTAAATTTAAAATTTTATTTCAAAAATCCAAATATTACAGATTTTATACCATATTAAATATTATTTTATTATAATAAATCGTATAAAATCTGTAATATTTATATTTTTTAAATAAAATTTTAAATTTGTCGATAAATTATAGTGGAGTATAAATTGCACCACTTTAATTTGAATTATCCCAAATGGGGGGGGCCAGAAGCCAGGTAAGGCGATACAAAAAACTAACTTTTTTTCGCAAACTTTAATTTAAATTCTGTTTTCGCAGAACTTGTCTATTTAATGTCATTATAAACTATTATAAATTTGGAGTGGGTCCCACGTCTAATAAGTGAGATATTGGTATACCCAAAATCCCCAATCCGCCACTGATATATATTATTAGAAGAAGAAGAAGAAGAAGAAAATACGTTTATTTTGAAAAATCCAGAGAGTGCACGTTAACACTCTATACGGATTCATCCTCTCACAACAATACAACAATATAATTATATATATTATAGTAATATATATAATTACATAATATATATTGGTTTAAAAGGTCACAATTATATGTTATAGGTACATTAATAATTAATATATGTATATTATAT